TTAAATTATTTTTCAACATGAATCTTCAAATTAAAATATAAATTTAATATTTTTATTTATAAATAAAAATATTTTTAAAAATTATTCATTTATTTTTAATGATATAGTTGTATGATCTTTTTCTTTCTATATTATTTATTGTAAGATATATCTATAATCATGTTATCTTGTATTCTAAATGTTATAATTTTATAAAATAATTTTAATTTTAAATTAAATATTTTTTATTAAACTTAATTTTAATCAATTTATTTCATAATTGTTAAAATAGTCATGTGATTTTGAGTTCCCATTACACTTAAAGATAGTAAGAGCTGAAATTGGTCATTGGCAAATTAAAATAATTTTTAAAATAATTTTTTTAAATAATTAATATTTTAATAAATAATTTTTATTTCTTTTAAAAAATTAATAAAATAATAGAAATTAATATCAAGGATTAAATAAATTTTTAAAACTAAAATAAATTTAATTTAAAAAATACCGACTCTTCTAATTTTTAAAAAATATTTAAAAAATATTTTTCTTAATATATTTTATCTCACTTATAATTATGAGTAACTTAGGTTACATGAAAAAAAAAGTCTTTAGGTTTATTATTTAAGGCATTCAATTTAAAGGTAGAAAAAACACAACACAGCTAATGAATCCATGAAACCACCGCGCATGTAACGGATGCTCCTGTCCCCCTCCCGCAAAAATCCCAAAAAGAAGCCGAAAAGAGGAAAAACTGTTTTAAAGACAAATTGAAATAAGTGAAAAATAAATATAAGTATAAATGACAATCATGCATACCTACTACTATCATTACTTTGCATTACTTTACATCAACTGAAAAGCCATAAAAAAGGTCAAAAGATAAAAGAAAAATTAAAGAAAAGCCATAAATAAGTGAACGAAAGTAAGGAAGCAAGTTAATTACAAAGCAGTTTTAGAGTGACCAAAGCTTCCATGTGTCATGCTTCCATTTCCTTTCAAACTTTGCTAGCTTTATATGTATAATTACTTATGAATAATAAATTTTTTAAAATCATATAATTATTTTAAAAAATATATCTCATATATTTTTATTTTAATTATTCATAATAAAATTCAACGATCAAAATTTAATTTATTATTCTTACTTAAAAAAATTATACAAATGTACATGCACACACATGCACTGATACATACACAACAAATATTAAATAAGAATCATTATCCCAATATAAAAATGAAAAAATAATATTATTATTATTTCTTGTATAAATTTTTTAAATTAAAATATGCAATATCTGTGTGATTTTTTAAAAAAAATTATTATTTTTAAGTAATTATGTAATTTTAAAATTTAAAATTTGAATTATAATTATATAGTCTAACTTTTTCCTATTATTCTTGTACATATAAAAAAAAACTAGACCAAAAAAGTTACCTCAGTAAATTCAGCTTAATATTTCAAGGTGGAAACGGGCAGAAAATGTGGTCTAAATCATTCATGAGTGTGCGTTCACACTATAGCAAACCAACAAAAAAAACAATAAAACTTGTTATAAATGAACAGTTATAGATAACGTCAACCAGGTTCACACGTCTACATTTACTTTTTCACTCCTGTATTTTTCATGTGTTTGGACTTGACTTTTATTGTTGATTTTAGAAAAAAAAATTCTTTTAATTATTAAAAATTAATATTATATATGATATTATAAATTTTTTATTATTTTATATATACATATTTAAAAATATGTTATTAAAAAAATTATTTTTAATACACTTTTTAGATCCAGAAGCCCTAAAAATTATATGAAATTGAAATTTTGTTCCTATGAATAAGATTTATTTGTATACCATTATATTCTAGAGAGAGGGTACTTTGCTTATGTTAAGCATTATAGAAGGTACTTGATGAATATTATATAATAAGTATCGTATTGAAAGTGGCATGGTGGCTTGAGGCCAAATAAGATATGCTGGGGTTATGGCATGATCATGTTTTTTACATTAGCAGTATGTTGCGTGCACCGTTTTGGTTATTTGTCAATAAAAGGAAACTATTTTGTGGACCTGAAAGTAAGTGTTGGCATGTGGGTCACCCGAACAGAACACACAAACGAAGAATGCGTGTGTGAAAATATGGTAACTCCAAATGCAAATATATATGTTTAGCAATCAGCAATGATCAAAATGAAACTAACTTTTTTTTTTATTAAATATTATAAGATTTAGTATATTACTAATATTAAATATTATATTTTAATTTTGTTTGTATATTTTTTGAGACACCTTAAAATAAATATTTTTATCATTTTTATTATTATTATTATTTTTAACCAATGGAGTTGATGTCTCCTGCAAGAGCTGCAACATTTAATCTCTTCCTCAGTCAAACAAGTTAAGTCCCATCATTACGTTTCTCACCTTGAAAGAGTACCATCATTTTCATACTTACCATTTGTGTGATCCATTGCCTTTTTGAGTTGTCATGCGTTTTGGTGCATTCTCTTCTTATCTAAATGTATGTTTCTTTAACTCAAATGGTACTTGATCTGATCTGTTGCACAGAATCAGTAAAGCCACCTAAATTTTATTTATTTATTATTATTAAAAAATGAAATTACAAAATATAAAAACCAAACATTTTTCCTAAACATAAGATTAGAGAAAAAAATCTTAAAGAGAAAGTGTTTGCTTTTGCTTTTGCTTTTGTTTTTTCTATTTTAATTAAAGAGAACACTTTATTTTTATTAAATTTCTTTTGAAATCATTATATGAAATCTTTTAATTACTAGGCTAAAGAGTAGAAAAAACAGTTCAGTGGAAAATGTAATAAATATAGACCAACTAAATAACGTAATGCTTAATTTGACAATTATGTTAAATCTTCCTAAAATAAAAAGTTTAACAATCTTTCTAACATTTTTATTGTTTTTAAACACGATAATTTTGAAATTCTAAAGAGTGTGAAACGCATGTTTTTTTTTTCTTTTTAGATAATTAGAAAAAAGAAAGAATTGGCTAGATTTTAGAAATATTTAACTTTATACACTGAAATGTCATTATAAAATTTCCATACTTAAACCACACACATAACTATTCACTCTTAATTGTGTGCCGCGAGAAAGTTAAAGAAAAAAAGAATACATGCGCATTTAATCCATTTGTGGCTTCTGAACCTCCTTTTTATTTATTTTTCTTTTTTATTAATACTAAATCCTAATAAATAATGAATGTATTGCTTCAATAACTATTTAAAATAGAAAGTATTAAGTATTACATACTTTTAAAAACTAATCAAATTTAACATTTAATTTCTTAAGTTATAAAAAGGTAATTAAATTATTTCATAATAAGAATTTAGAGTTTTATATGCACTTAAAGATTGCGATGCTAACTTATGCAAAATACTTATATCATTTATTCATAAATAACCCTAATTAATGTATATAACACAAAATTGTTTCATATAAAGAAAATTGAAAATTTTATCTCAATATCTTATAGTTATTTTATACACTTCTGGTTTTTAATTATAACTTGAATTATTTCTCTTACTTATTCTAAATGGATTTATGTCATCCTCTATTTGTTTCATATAATTGTTTTGTGTTAAAGTTGTGCTCTATTTTATTTTATAATATTATTTGATAATATATTGGCACATTATTTAAAAATATAGAATTAAAAGGTAGTAATTATGATAAAAATTTTATAAATTTAATTAAATAACAATTATGTAATAGCATATAAATTTATTACCTTAATGAACTAAAACTAATTCGAATGAAAATATATTTTTAACTTTTTTTCTTAGTAAAGTATAAATTAGCTACATGTTATATTTTCGTTAGAAAGACAGAATGTGGTAGTTATGTTTTCAAAATAGTAGTTAGCGAAAGAAAACTAAAAAAAATAAAATATTTATCACATGAAAATATAAAATTTAATATGATATGTTTTAAGTAATTAATTTATTAAATATAAGATATTAAATACTTTTTATCTAATTTATTTGTAACACTAACATTCATTAACAATTCTCATTTACTTGTATCAATACTAATAAAGACAAAAATAAATAATCAATTGAAAAAAATGGACAAATGTTATTTTCTTTTTGCTTGTTTTAAAAAAAAATCATTTTAAAGAAATGAAGACGACAGCATGAAAAGTAAGAATGAAGTAAATGAAAAATAGACAAGAGAGATGATGTTTTCAGGATTTATATTGTATTAATAGTAGATTATATTATAATAAATGTTAATCAATATTTAAAAAATATTAACTAAGAAATTAAAAATAAACTTTTTATGAAAAATGTTTAGCCTTTAGGACAATGCAAACTACCCGTTGTTGTCTCCGTTTTCTAGAAACGCGCAAGCGGAAAAGCCTTCAGAAACAGACAAACATTACTGGGTTTGCACAAAGCCCGATAAGCAAAGTAGAGGAAAGAGAGAAACGGCAACCCAAAACACCACGCATTTGCTGAGTGACACTGACAACCCACACGAGCGGTTCTCACATTGCATGCACACACACTCATAATTATGGTTTTTCGTAGAGAGAGAAACCAACTCATCACTTTATTCAATGTTTTAAGAGAGAGAAACGCAAAATAAGGGACCTCAGTGATGATCTCATTTCAACCCATGAGAGAGAAGAACCAGAGTGAACAGAATTGCACTATTTACGAAAAAAAATTACAGTGAAACCTAAAAATAAAATAATTAAAAAAATCTCATTTTTCATTTGCATATACTCTCCCCTTATAAATCTTGTTGTCTCAGTTCATTTGTTCTCTCATTCTTTGTCTCTAAATTTCGCCATAGCCCATTCTTTTTCTCCCTCTCTCTTTGGTGACGCATCCATGGCTTAAGGAGAGAGGGAATATACAATGTCACAGAGTCTCTTCTTTTTCCTTTACCCTTTTCTTTAATTTTTTTTTTTATGCTTTTCTTCCCTTAACATTGTGAAAGTTAGGCCCTTCATTGCTTCTTCTTTTTTGAGTCTTGCAATTTTCCATGAGTAACTCACTGCACTTCAACAGTGGTGGTTATGATTTTTGTGAGAACATGAATATTTTTCCTTCACCTCATGTTCCTTCCTCCGCTTCTTCTTCATATCTTGGAATCCAACCTCCTCTGTGTTCAAACACTTTTGGGGTTATGGTTCATGATGGGGACACCAAGTGTGAAAGGTCAAATATACCCTTTCAGATTTTGAACCCCTCTGCGTTTGATCCCCGAGAGGAAATGGTAACAAGGGAAACCAATGATGAAGGGGATGAAGGGGTTGAGAACACTGGGTTGTCTTTGAAACTTGGTGAGGGAGTTGAGTCTAAGAGTCGTTCTGGCACAGAGAAAATTGAGCCCACTAAGCTTTGTGCTAGAGGTCATTGGAGACCAGCCGAAGATGCCAAACTCAAAGAGCTTGTTGCTCAGTTTGGACCCCAAAATTGGAACTCAATTGCAGAACATCTTCAAGGAAGATCAGGTAAACGACAAAAAAGAGTTATGATTTAAGAAAAATCATTTTTTTTGTGGAGAATGTGATTCATCCCGTGAGGCTTTTTGTGGTGTTGAATGGTAATTGCAGGCAAAAGTTGCAGATTGAGGTGGTTTAATCAGCTAGATCCTAGAATCAACAAAAAGGCTTTTAGTGAGGAAGAAGAGGAAAGGCTCTTGGCTGCTCACAAAATCTATGGTAACAAATGGGCCATGATTTCTAGGCTCTTTCCTGGTAGAACAGACAATGCAGTGAAGAACCATTGGCATGTGATCATGGCTAGGAAGCAAAGGGACAAATCATATCTGTATAAAAGGAGAAAGACCACATTTACAGTTCCAAAGGACTTGAATTTGCCCTTATCAAACAATGCAGGCAGTGAATCAACCATCTCAAGCACCATTCTTGATGAATCTGCCTCAACATGCACTAACCTCTCTCTCACTCCCTCTTCAGCGAAGCCAACTCTTAGGCCTTTTCTTAACCCAAGTCCGGTTCAGAATCACCAAGCCTATGGAGCAATAATGGGTATGCTTTGGTCTTCCATTTTTTTCGCCCATTAAAGGGTAACCTCCACAATAGTCCTAAAATTTTAAGAGTTATGGGTGGTTTTAATCAAGACAGCACTATTTTTTACTATAAAATATTGGTTTATTTATTTATATAAAATGACTGAATTTAACTCATGGACCATTTATAATTATTAAAATTTGTGAACATTGGAGAAGTCACCCTGAGAATTTAAGTCCCTCTAACATCTTATTCTTTCCTATTATGTCTTTAATATTTATATTTGTGGGGTTTCAGGTTTATCTGGTAAAAGCAGGATACCGACAAGAGAAGCTGGCTTTGACAAGTTTTTTGGTGCATGGAAAGGTTCATGTGAGGCTGAAGGACCCATAGGAAGGCTCATGGGTATGGACCAATCCCATTACACACATTCAAACTCATCAGAAGTTTCAGTATCTGAGTCAGTTGCCACCAACAGGACTACCAATCTCTCAATTTCTGGGGAAAGTGAAAACATGGGTGATAACAAGGATAACATGCCATTCATTGACTTTCTTGGAGTAGGAGCCACATAGAGAAATTGTTGATAGAATGAATAATCTTCATTCAAAAATGGGTCTTATGTAGTAGGTTTTATCATCACTCCTTGTGTATAGTTAGTTCCATAATGGCCATAGGTTAATGAAGTAAAATGTAAAATGAAAAGATGGGAGAAAAAAAAATAGTTATGAAGGATGACTTATGAGGAGTTATTATGATTATTAAAAAAATATATAATAATAGAAATAATTATTATGAAACTCTTGGTTTTGGAGTGATGAATGGACAGTGAAGGACTTTTGTATTTTTGTGGTGTACTTGGTAATTTTGCAATTGAGGCAAAGCCGAAATTGCTAGACTTAGGTTTGCAATGAATCAACCGACCCAGTTATGAGTGATTTGTTTTCAATATTCAACGTCGTGTCACTGGGTTTGGTACTTTTCCTTTTGGCTGTGCCTTTGCTCTCAATGTTTGACCCCCTTTTAGTGCACTATACCAATTAATAGGCCTCTCCTTTCTACGTTTTATCTCAACAATTTAATTAATATTCTTAATTAATACATAAGATTTGCAGCTTGTGTTACATGATAATTAATGTTGATAAAGAAAAAATGAAAAATGTCTGGCAGAAGCAAAGATGAATTTTATTACACTTATTTAATTTAATTAGACAGTCTTGTTCTATTCTTGTGCAATAATAATTTTTTTAAAAATATCATATTAAGAATGATTAATTGATATAATTGAAATTTTTTTAAAAATATATAAAAATAAACTTTTATATATATATATATATATATATATATATATATTTATTTATTTTTAGATGGACTACCAGCGCCGAAAAATATGGTGGGGTATGGAAACGAACCTCATGCCATTGACTATTAGGTTTGAAAAACGTGACACTATTGTCTCTGCCATTTCTATGTCGGCATTTCCATTACAAGATCCACAGATTTATTCAACTCAATTTTCAGATGTTTTCTATTTTTCTTGACTCTTAAAATCAAAAAATGAGATAAAATTAATGGGACTTATTCTATGTTTTTTAATATGAAAAAATTACATATCAAAATATGAAAATTAAAAATATTATGAGAATATAATTTTTTTAAAAAAAATCTATCAATAATAATATTTTTTTTAGTTATTTTATCTTTAAATTTTTATATTTACACTAAAAATGATTAATATTTATTTTTTTAGTAAATATATTTTTTAAAATACTATATAAAAAAATTAGTCTAAGCTTTATAACATTAAAATAAATATAGAACTGAAATACAGTAAAGATTAAGGAAGGAATAAAGAAGTAAGATGAGGAGAAATGATAATTTTGACTAAAATGAAATCAGTTCAATAATTTTTCTTTGAGAATTTTATGGTTTGTTAGTTTTACAAAAAAATCTTGTCAGAAGTATTAATGAATATGTTTATTTATTCTATATTATATTTGATGAAAAATAAAATAAAAAATAAAATAATATAATGTTATTTTTACCATATTTATTTAAAATTCAAGTTTTGTAAAATAGAATTTATACTTGAAATTGGACAAGACAAGTGTACAAGAGTTATCACCTTTTATTGAATAAATAAATATTAAAAATTATAAAAATTTAAAAATATTGTATCTTATTTTCTTATTCTAAGTTACCAAATAAGCTTAAGATTAAAATTCACGACACAAAGTTATGGTAAAATTGATATATTGCTGTTCAATTGTTTTACCATATATATATATGGATGTAATTACTTTCACCATTTAGGAAGGAAGAAGGATATATACCATTTTCTCTTAATCTTTAATTTGATTAAAGGATCAAAACCCATTCTATAACAATGCTTCAATTTTAAGATGGAAAAATTAAATGCCAGAATCTGTTTACCACCTAATTCTATAAATAGTTGAAAGAGAAATCAGAGCAAGGTAAATAAATCTGTTTACTACCGTTAAGTAAATGTGTTTCTAATTGAATAATAATAATAATAATAATAGTAATAATAATAATAATAATGAAAAAATCCAATGTCTAAATAATTTACTTAAACTTGTCAAACTTTATTAACTTTTTTTTATAAAGGGATTGTAAATAAAAGTGGACAAGAAATATCAATATAATTTTTTTTCTTATTTCTTAAACAACTTAAGCTCTTAATGTAAGGAAAAGGATTGACATTTTTAAAAACAATTATTATATTCTCATAATTTGTAATAAATAAAATATTAAATAAAAGTAAACATATTGATATCTTTAAAACATTAATTTTTTACTGCAATTCTCAGAGAAGAGGATAATCAATTAAAAGTTATAAGTTTTTATTGAAACAAAAAGTTATATTTATTATCTTGAGAATGTTTAAGTATAATTAAATGTTATATTTTTAATAAAAATTTATAATTTATAAGTGTTAAAATTAAACTTTAAAAGTTGAATTACGTAAATTAAATTGTTTAAATTTTTATTTAATAATTAAGAGAATTATAATGATGATAAATTAAGAGACTTCACAATTGTTTAAATAATCACGTTGACCATGATGTTGCCCCAGTTTGGAACCAGGCAGGGAAGCTCATGCCTATGCGTTCCCAACCAAAGTCTCAAAAGTGAAATTGACTTGCGAGATTTTGCCAGAGACTCTGCTATAATTATATTTACTATTTTTGCACACATTTATGACAAAGCAAATGCTAATCATTATTTTAAGTACACTCTTTAAAAAACAAAAACTATATATATCTTTTAATATAATTTAACATAATTGTTAATAAAATCTGTTTATTTTTAATTTCTTAATTAATACCCTGAAATCATTAATTAACAAGTCCTTTTAATAAAATTTGTTAATTGTATTTAGTATCTCTGTTCACAAAAGCGTTCGATAACTCATTTTAGACACATTATTGGTAGAAAAATGTTATATTTTACACCAAATTCTTACAAATGCTTCTTTTAAAACATAAACATCACTCGTTATCTTATCGCACATTTAACTGTTTTCTCTTTTTTTCTCATAAATTTTAAGACTTGTTATAAAAAAATTATATAAGAATAACTTATTAGTATGACGAGCATAGCAATTCCAAGTTTTACATTGGTTTTGTAACTGATAAAAATTATTGCATTGGTTTGGGCTCATATAATGATTTCTATAGTCCAATTTCTCGGCCATTGGGTAGAGAAGCAGTGTTATAGGGCTTGGTTTTGTTTATTTTAAACTTCTCTTCAGCTGGTTTGTTTCAGCCTAAAAATTCTCCACTATAGCTGAGTTGCAGCATATTTTTGGCGGTGTTACTTTACGCCCACTTTACTGGACATAAGAAACAACTACAGCAAAATTCATAGAATATATATATATATATATATACACGGTAATGTTATTATATTAAATTTGTCATTAAACACGATATGAACTGATATTAATTGAGTAAGAATTATATTAAATTTATTAATATGATCAGTTATAATTTTTTTTTTTACTATCTTGAGGTTAAATAGTTGACACATTAAATATACTTTTTGAATGCAGATTGTTAACAGTTTTGTTTCTCAATCTGCATCAATGCAATTATGGCTTGAGAACTTTCTTGAATCTAGCAAATTATGTAGACCCGCTCACATCTCAACAAATCTTTCCTATTTTTCAATAACATATATGTTAAATATATGTGCTTCATTTTCATACTACATTCAATCAATTATTTAACGTTATGATTTTGTGTAGATTTTTAAATTTTTACAAAGGTCTCTACGTTCTTAACCCTATGATGGATATAACTCTATAAATACTGGACATGCTCATCTATTTTGGGTCATTGAACCAACTTCTCTCTTTAAAAAATAATGCTATCACGTTTTGAGTGAGTAAGAGTTTGAAAAATTGAAATCATACGAGTCTATGCATGGTGCAAGTTAATTTGCAATGACTGGAGATTAGTGTTCTAATTTAATTTCGCTTCTATATATACATGATTTGAACATTTGTATTTTAACATATTTGGATCATTTAGATATCTTTGCCTTGGTTGTTCTTTCCTATGGTAGAGTTTGAAATTCTTTTTTAGAATATAGGTCTTGTGTGTTTTGACTTTTAGAATATAGGTCTTCTGTGTTTTGACCTTATTAATTCATACTAAACATGGTAACTAGATCAAAATTTATTTTTTATGCTTAAAAACAATATTATTCCACATTTAATATATGTTGAAAAATATGGATCTATAAGTCATAATCAAGTCAAACTAATCCAACTTGAGGTTGAAGATAAAAATAATTAAAATGCATGTTGTTCTATCAACTAATGCATTTGAGAATTTATATAAGACATCAACTAAGAACATATTATGGTACTTGGTACAATAGTTAATTGTGTTATATATATATATATATATATATATATATATATATATATATATATATAAACATGGTGCGAGATCGAACCCTTTGGATGTATTTTTTATCCTTCATAAAAAATATTTTTAACCATTCATAATAATAATAATAATAATAATAATAATAATCTTTATATATAGCATGTTCTATTTACTAATTTTGCTCATGTATTAGAGTTTGCATGATCTATTTAGCATAAAATTATATATTTATATTTCTTAATCTCCCTATACGAATTAAAGAAAAGAACATAATTTGATAGTTTTGTTATAAGGTTACATGATGAGTCTGATTAAGACTTTAGCCCACAAACAAGTTTCATGTCACTAGATTTATGAATTAAAGTATGTTTGCATTGGTGAAACATGACCTTTATTTCAACCTCAAATTATGATGATAAAAGCATGTATTTTGAACTTTGTAGTTTTTTAATTTGTGAATATTGTTGATATTAAGTGTGTTATTCTCGAGTTAAAGGGTGACAATTCTAAAATTTAAAAGGGGAGAGTTCTTCTACATTTGGATTAGATAAATATTAATTATGCTATTAGGAAGAAAGAACCATGGACAATTACTTAGACCAACACTCTACATGTAATTGATCTTTATAAAAAGTGAAAGAGTTTTAATAGCCTTT